GCTCCAGCCGGGCTTGGCAGGCGCGTTGTCGCTCAGACGCAGCTCACACTCCTGCGAGGAAAGGGCTTTCAGTCCTTTGTTGAATAAGGGATCCTGTCAACCACCCTCCCCAGCTCCGCTCCCCCGAGCGTGTTGTGTCAGATTTTCAGTTGATTTCCTCTAAGTTGCCTCCGCACCTGGGCATGTCATGAAGAAAAATAGCCTTGTATCAGTGGAATGGATTAAGCTAAAGACCTGTGCACGGTTTACACTGTCAGAGATAAATATTTTTATTGCGATTATTTATTTAAGCACATTAGCAGCACTTCTGAGTTTACTGTAGGATGAGAAGCCCCGTGGGCTGGGGCGCAGGCTGGAGGAATTACCTTCCTGCACTTCGGGGGTGATGCTGCTTGATCACCTGTTCTTCCTTACCTGATATCTGAGTATTTCACAGTCCTCAGTCAGTGGAGTATGGAATTGTTAATATTTTAAAGAATTTTAGAACTAAGTATTTTTCTCAGGCACAGTAAACATATCAACTGTCCAATTTGTACATGATTAAGTTTCCTGGAACAAGAACACGATACCATGCACTGAGCTTTGGTCCTTTTTTTTTTTTATTTTTATTTTTTTTTTTTTTTAAATGATTAGTGGATTTTAAGAATGGGAAAGTGTAGAACATTCAGTAGAACCAAGAACCAAAGTGTGAATGACTTCCAAGGTAACATCACTAAGCTTCAACCATCTTTGTAGTATTGTGTGCAATCCGACAGGAAGAAAACAGGCTTGTGAATTTCTAAACAAAACCATGCTTGTGGCAAGCTTCTGACCCTTCTGAGAATGTAAAGAATTTCCTCTAAGCTCTCTATTACTACAGGTCATGTTCTTCTACATTGCAGGTGGACATACTTCTGATTTTAATAGTTTTACAGTATAATCCTCTCTGTCCAATGGGAGACATTTAATGCACAAATTATAAGCGAGGATCCAGCAGTTGTGTGGTTCCATAAAAAGTGTTTCTGAAAAGCAGTGGAAATATAAACTTCAAGTATATAATTATTATTATTTTTTAATTATGAAAGTAAAGCTTTTTGGAGAGAGCATTAATTTAGCTGTTTTCATGTCAGACAGTTCTAGTACAAAGACATTTATCAGAAAAAAAAAAAAAGTAACATGGACATTAAATTCCTTTTTTCTTCATCCCAGTATCTCAATCCTGAATCCCAAGACCTAAGCATCAACAAGTGAAGAGAGCACTACATTCTTTGCTTCAGTTATTCAGCTGAGGTTTTATAGGACAGGAAATGATGATTTATTCCCCTAAGTACTACTGTCTACTTCATATATGTTACTATTAAGGTAGAAATAATAACGACCCTCTTTTACACCTTCATTTGCTTGTGACAGCATGGCTGGGTCTCTCCATTTATGTCTGCTTTGCTGTTTGCAGTTCTTTATGCCAACTCTTTTTTCTGGCCCCTGTTTTTCACGGAGCAGATTACTTAAGTATTCCTGAAGGTTATTTGGGCTGCAGTCACTCTCTTCAGACTTCATACAGAAAAAGTCTTCTTCAGGCTGCAGTCTCTTTGGTTTTCCCTTAGCTGAACACTGTCAGGAAAGAATATATTGCTGCTGTTAAGATGATGGAGAAGTGCAGTAAGCATTCCCAGTCAGTTCATTTTCTGTTATTACTAGAAGTTGAATTAAGGTCCAGTGGAGTCCAGTGAATCTGAATGACTCATATAACTCATATTCTATCTTTGATGTTTTCCACTTGAAACAACTGTCTGAAGTCTCTGGTTTCATTAGATATTTTGCAAAAGCCACACTTTTTATTGGTTTGCTTAGGGATGTTTTTCCTTGAATTGTAATAGCAAGCAGTTCTTGGGCTATTGATTTGTAATTGCATTGTTATCTATACCTTAAATACCAGTTATAATTACTCAATTCTACGTGCTACTTAATAGCAGTTCATGTCATGCTTAAGCATATGAGGAAAAGTTACCTTTTCTGGCAGTTATTCTGCTCTCTAGAGTGGATCATATGCCTTTCACAGGTCTTCCAACTTGCAGCATGCTCTTCCTGCACTAATGCTGCATCCACAGGTGACTTATTGCATAATCATGGTTACAGATATTTATTTTTAGCTGTGAAAAATCTTTCTCCACATTTAGGGGAAAGTTTTCTAAATTGTTACATATTACAATGCTAAAGGGCAGCAAAATTTTTCCTTTTTACCTGGAGATTTTTAAAATGTGGATTCTCTGCAGTATCTGTTGGTCACCAAATCAGTTTCCTTTTATCCTACTTCCCCTGGCTACAAAACTAACCTTATTAAAACATTTATTGATTGTCATGAGGATAAAATACCCCCAGATGTACAACTAACGTTCTTTTATTTTAGCAGTTCATTCTATGATAAATTTGTCAATTCATAATGCCATACTTGAGTCATACACTAAATAGGAATTGTAGACTCCCAGAAAAAAGCTAGAGAAATGGCTAAAGATTGAGAGTGTGTGCCTTGCAAGAGAAAACAAAATAAATGATGTTGCTAGGTCACAGGAAAGAGAAAATTAAACTCCCTCAACATAGCAATTTACACATAAAAGTTTGTTAAATAAGGCAGTTCTCTATCTTCATTGGCAAAAGGACAAAATTAAATCAGGTTAACGTGCAGCAAAATGAGGCTGGATCGTAACAATCCTGATCAGTAGGAATTGTTAAGCAATATAACAAGCTACTGAAGGATGGTATGGGGTCTCCTCTGTTGGTGTTTAGGATCTGATGATACAGTATGTGTTAGAGATGATCCTTACATGCTTATTCTTGCCTCTGTGCAGAATCTTTTAATTAAGGTAATCATTCCATTTTGCTACTGTATCATTCCTCTCCCACCTCTCTCAGGAGAGGAGTACCCCTTCACTTCTGCCAAACTAATTAAGTCAGAATTATGAAATAAGCCGAGCGTATGTTTCTACAGTTCTTCACACCAAAGGTGACAGTTTCTGGCCTGGGTTTTGTCAATAGGTTGGGGTTTTTTTTAGTCAATGACTGCACTTGCAAATACAACCCAGAGGGATATAGAGCAGTGGAAATCTAAACAATTAAAATCCATGGGAGAGATTGATGTGTAAAGCGACTCCTAGTTTTGGAGGGTGATCACTTGGAAGTGACAAAGTATAGGAAAATAATTCTGGGACTACTGACTTACCCAGCTGTAGGTATGGGATTTTTTCCTGTTCTGCGCTGTACCTAAAATAGAGATAATACATAATTACTTTGTATTGTATCTGAGTTTCTCAGATGTTGCCATACAGAAATCTGAGTTTAACTATAAATTACTTTGCTCTTGTTTTGTCATGTAATAATTGCAGTCATGATTGTCTACCAGGAATGGATGACATTTTTTATTTTTTTAATTTTTTTTTACCCCCTCCTTGTATAATTGGCAAAATGTTCCAGAAAATGTGAAGCAGGAAGCATTAAAAACAACAGTTAATTACTGAAATAATGTGATTTATTAAAGTCCCATTAAATCTATCTATGTGTTCACTGGCATTTTGGACATGAGTATTACCAACAGTTATGGTCCTTCTAAGAGATGCTAAAATAAACCGTTGAACAAAGAAAAGGCATTAAATTACACTTACAATTCAATAAAACCAAGAAAAAGAAAATATTCCATACAATTTATACAGTAAAGCTGTTCCCAATGACAGTGCAAGAGGTTGAAATAGGTCACAGGCAGCCCTCCTTACGTTGCTCAAGAACATTAGAAGGATTAATAATT